CACTCAGAGTAACATCACACAAGCATCATTACCTGATGTTGTACAGAATAGCATGGTTAGATCATGCAGACAAGAACATGAACTAACTCTACATGATCTAACCATGCTTTATAACCCAGCAGTGAGTTCTGTACAACATCAGATCACTTTAAGGTAGCTCAGTCTAGAGGTGTGCGAATCCGATCCGAATCCAATCCGATCCGATCGGATTCGGATCGGATTCGGACAGTAAATTACTCGGATTTCGTTTTGTTTCTGTCGGATCGGATCGGATTTTGCAGGTTTTTTGTCGGATCGGTTCGGATTTGATTTTTCTTGTATCACGTCGAATTATTCGAATATTTTTACAAATTGTGAAATTGTAAATTATGAAAATGCGTATGATTTTACGTATGATTTTACGTTGTATGAAATCAAACAGTGTCCAGTTTTTTTTTTGAACACCTCGTATAAAAGTGTTTTGAGTTCTTGTGACATATATTTCTAAAAATAGTTTTGAGTTATTTGGATTTTGGACGTATATTTCTCAGTTACGTACGGGATTGGATATATAGGAAATTTAGAAATGTTGTGTTTTTTTGTTTGGTTTGTTAGGTTTATGTATCATGAAGCCTGACAATGAGGTTTATTAGTGATAAACTTTAAGATGTTTTAAAATGTAAACCTATCTCAAGCTCATGATTTATTATACTGAATAAAACATTTTTGACTAGTTGGTTTTTTTTTCTATGCTAATTCTAATAAAATATAAACTGCTGTTACTGTGTACTGTAAATATGAACGCTATAAGGCATAATTATGTGATATCGCCCTGCAATTTTTATCGGATTCGTATCTGCTTATTTTTGCTAGAAATTCATTATTTCCAATATATCGTTTATGATCATGAAAAAATACGTTCATAATAATTAACGCACGCTGTACAGCGTACACAACTTAAGTTCGGATCGGATTACGAATTTTAGCATCGGATCGGATCGGATTTTATAAACATTGTTTCGGATCGGATCGGATTACTTTTTTCATCTTCGGATCGGATCGGATTCGGATTGAGAACTTAGACAAACCATCGGATTGAGAGAGGTCAATCCGATCCGACGCACACCTCTATAGCTCACATTCAAGAACATGTACTACCTCTGCATGGTCTAACCATTCTTCACTCAGCAGTGAGTTCTGTACAACATCAGATCACTTTAAGGTAGCTCACATTCAAGAACATATACTACCTCTGCATGATCTAACCACTCTTCACTCAGCAGTGAGGTCTGTACAACATCAGATCACTTTAAGGTAGCTCACATTCAAGAACATGCACTACGGAATGTGAGCTACCTTAAAGTGATCTGATGTTGTACAGAACTCTTGTGAGTGGACGAGTAGATTAGATTATGCTATCCAGTATAAATAAAGTTAGTTTAGTTCACGATTAAAGCCTGGTTTCCATATGGTAATAACTGTCGTAAAGATTGAGCCACGATCTCTCTCATCAGCCGAAGTACAACAGCTTAGAACTGGAAATAGGCAGAGTGGTTCAAACTAAAGAATACTTATTATTTATATGTGCTTTACATGCAGGTAAAAAACTATTATAATCTGGCCGTGTAGAACGATTGTGACTCTGTCTTTACGACTGTTACGACCTGGCTTAATGAACCATGTCATATGAACACTGGAGCAATAAAAAATGGCACTTGCTGGACCTCTAAGGAGAACTGTTCAGAACAGATAGAGCAGTCCAGTGTATAGTAAGTTTAGGTCCCCCTGTAGGTCAGTTTACTGGACCACCTGGGAGTGTAATTTAGAAGACTGTTCTTTTTCTGAGAACATTAGACTCCCACGTTCCCCATTCTGTCATATTCTGGTTTTATGTGAAACAATAGACACGCCATCAGATAAGAACCTACTTCAACTGAATAAAACAATCAATATCTCAACTCCTTTAAAGATGTCACTTACTGGACCTCCAGGAAGAACAGTTAAGAATTGATGGAGCTATCCAGTATAAAGTTAGTTTATAGGATAGAGCTATCCTATATAAATAAAGTTAGTTTAGTTTAGGTTTCCTCCTGTAGTAACACTGGATCAATAAAAGATGATCCTTACTGGACCTCTAGGAAGAACAGTTTAGAACTGATAGAGCTATCCAATACAAACAAAGTTAGTTTAGTTTAGGCAGGGACGCCGGAACTGGGGGGGGGGGGCAGGAGGGGCAGCCGCCCCCCTTGCTCTTTACCAGGAGGGTCAAGGGGGGCAAAGGTGCCCTTTCAATTCAAATGATTGCCTTGGCGAAATAGCGAATTGTCAGAAATGTTAGTGCAATTCTTTTACGAATTTGCTTCAGAAAACGCAAGAAATGCAGTCATCGAGCTTCAAGAATAGCGCAATCGCCTGGTGGAGAACCCCCTCACACCCCTATCATCCAATAAATAGAAAACATGATTAGGCAAAGTTCAACTCCCGATGTTTTGCAAACATCTCTTAGTATATATCAATTCAAAAGTGCCCTTTCACAAAAATCTGCCCCCCTTGCCTTCACATCGTTCCGGCGTCCCTAAGTTTAGGTTTCCCCCTGTAGTAACACTGGATCAATAAGAGATGATCCTTACTGGACCTCTAGGAAGAACAGAATTGATGAAGCTATCGAGTATACATAAAGTTAGTAGCAATATAAACACAAGCCTCATCTCATAAAAGCGTAATAAAACACTTGATTCGCATACCTTAATTTCCTCTAATTCTTTACTATGCTTTTCTTTAACGTCCTCGAATGCCGTTACACTTACACCCCCATTTTCCTTCGCCTCGCGCTCAGGAGCTCTGGCTTCGTACTCGTTCTTCAGCGTTTCAATCCTTCGTTCGTTACTAAACAAACACAAAACAACATGAGCACACACGGCTGACTGCTTATCAAAGCCAATACATTGCATTTAAAACAACACAGAGACATGCGATTTTGATGCGAATGGAGATAAAATGTCTGGAAAATAAACCCACGGGTCTGGATAGCTCAAAATATGACAACATCCAAACACTTCCCAAATGGACCATTCTCAATTACCAGCCATTGTTGTGATTTGAATTAACCTTCGTGTAAAGGGACGAAATAGCTCGAATTCGAGGATGAAAATACGATTCTAGTTAGCTTATAGTTTATAAGTCATTGTCCGCTTGGCCCTTACTTGAGGAAAATGTATGTATTTGCCAACGGCAATATTGTGTCTGTTTATAAATAAAGCCAAATGTTTTGACAGCGACCAGGTGGCTTGAGTCGCTCAAACGAAGATGAGAGTTTGATGCGAGTTCAACACTAGCTCGCTATCGACTCTCGTCGGCAACTGCTTCAAATTTTGATGAGAATTTTTGCTCGTTTGACCGGTAATATCTAGTCAACTCTCATGCAGCTCTCGTGCAACTCTTGTTCCCGTTTGACCGGGGCATGAGAATTGAGAAAACTCTCATACAAACTCTCGCTTCTCAACTCTCATCAACTCTCATGTAACTCTTGTTCTTGTTTGACCGGGGCATGAGAGTTGAGAAAACTCTCATACAACCTCTCGCTTCTCAACTCTCATGTAACTCTTGTTCTCGTTTGACCGGGGTATGAGAGTTGAGAAAACTCTCATGCAAATCTCAAGGGGTTAGGGATAAGTATAAAGGCCACAGAAAGCACACCCCTTAACCCACACCCCGAAATCTTCCATGAGCAAAAGTCTGTGCTCGTTCCCCGACTGGTTGAAAGACAGCGAATCTACCAAATTCAACACAAAGCAATAACTGGCACTGATTCAACAGTTGAATCAAATGGAAGAAAGCAGAGAAAGTGATAATCAATGTTTCTTCCATTTCTGCTTTCTTCCATTTGATTCACTGCAGTTACACGTAAAGTGCAGAATTCAAGGCCTGAGACTGATTTCCAATATCAGTCATCTCATCTGGTGATTCAATTTTCATTCGGGTGATTGACTGAAGTTTTACTCCAGTTATAAATAGAGTCCACAGGTTAGATTACAGTTATGAAATCTGGAGCTGAATGTTTTACAATAAAAGTTAAACTATAAATATTCAAATATGGATTTCATATAGCCTGTGAATTCAATAAGCGATTGGAGTGTTTGTTTGACTAAATATATTTAATAAGTTCACTTTGTACATGAAGAAAATTTTGTACATTAGTGATTTTTACTCTCGAAAAGAACAGTGTATACTGATTTCAGCCAGAAATTCCAATTTGTATCAAATGCATGTAGGCTATGTGTCATCACAAAGATATATGTCTCATAAACAAAATAATTATGTAACCTCACATACAGGCATGATATAGCAACATAAACAGTTACAATTTAATACGAGTCTGGAACCATCTAGAACGTAGCCGTAGGTGATGATGACGTCATCGCTATGAAATGTCCAAAAAATGAACAAAACAAAACAAAACTAACAGCTAAGTTATATATGCGATGAAAAAGGTTTTCCGTTGTATAGGTGAGTTTGAATAAGCACTATCGTGCAGCAGACGGAAATTAATCGCTATCGTCTGCTCAAAAAACCTTACTGAAAACCTGTCATGTAGAAAGGTATCTGTCTCCAGTGGTGAAACTAATAAACTATACCGGTTATTGTATAATACTCTATTTATATGTTAAACAGTTATTGAAACACTCGTATAAAAAGCAATTCAGCTCAGACAAATCGAAAATAACCTTAAAAGCACAAAAAAGGCAACATCAACTCGGCATTCACCCCAGGAAGACATGCAATATCTAATTGCTACATATGACATAGTGTGGTGGACACCACGCTTCAGTTTCAAGCTAGGAGACCTGTGTTCAATCCTTGCTCGGACCTCTACTCAATGTCTTAAAATAATTGAGAAGAAAGTTCTGCCTTTACATTGACTTCAGTAAATGGTTAGACTTTCGCGTCTTCTCGGATAAGGACGTTAAATCATAGGTACCTTGGATCCCCTATTAATTGGGCAATAGCCTGTTGGGAAATCCACTCACGAATGATTGAGAAACTCAATAAACTGAATCTCAATTATCAGGGTGAAAAACCGTTTTGTCATTACGAGGTAATTCATTGCGAGGGCACGGAAGCCGGTGTCATAAGTAAGGTATATAACACAAGCTAAAAGAAAACAGGAGCTATTATATGACGAATGCTCGAAGAGTGATTGACACCGACTCCCGAATTATACATTTATACATTTGTGTACAGCTGGAACTCTTTTTACGGACACCTCCTCCTCGGCATACATAATTCCCATTTTCTTTTTGTAAAACATAACTGAAACTATATATACTACCGAGACCTCTCTAATACGTATACACCTCGTTGTATTCCTTCAGTGTCCATATTAGAGAAGCCAAACTGTATTTCATGCAACATATATCACAACACCTTCGGCGCAAAAGGATGTGTGAATTGAGATCTGGCCTTATATTATCTTCGCTGATGAAGAATCGGGCGTACGGATCGAACTAGCTTTACGGAATGCACAAACGTAATGCTTTAAAAAATAAAACAAAAATACATAAAACCTTTAGTTTGTGGAGGTTTTATTCGACTATGGGGGACCAGATTTATGGATTCTAGAGTGTCACAATCCCAGTGCATACATATGCTGTCAAGGTTTGCCATTGTAAACAGAGCTAGCTAGATCTAGACTCACGAACAAACCTCTCCTTATAGACCTTATTACATCTCTATATTAAAGAGGACAGCTCTATATTTCGGTCATGTTTCCCATGCCTAGAGTGTAATTCTGTTTAAAAACAACCTCTATAATACAGACACCTCTTGGACATTATGTCTCCTCGGTGTCCATATTAAGACAACTCGACTTAATTCGACTGCAGACCGTCATTATTTAAGCCTTTTATTCTCCAACACTCAACAAAATACCAGCTAGCCATCTGGAGAATGTTGACTCGAGTCCAACGAAGAAAAAATAATCTTAAGCCTTAGTGCCTGTTACCAAACTATATACGTAAAACAGATTTCGCCTGTGGCATAAAAACAGTAAGCCGGGTTGGCAATGCAATTTAAATATCAGCCTATATGCCTTGGATTAGCCGGCCTGCCGCTATTTACCTGTAAATAGAATGTAGGTATTAACATTTAATACTTACTGTTCGCCTCGAGACCATATAGACAAGTCACTTTGCAAGTTAAACGATGAAATTGCTGAATTGTTGCAACAAAGTGTTAAGTTCTAACTTGTGTGCATTGTTGAATGCGTTTGATCGCACAGAGATAAGGGTTATGCCCCAACACCACACATGTCTAATGTTTCATTTCAATCAAATTAATTGCCATCCTTGAACCGAGAGTTTAATCTGTTTCATGGTATTCACGTTTGGCTGCCTCTTATCTGGCAAACAAATTCACCATTCGTGTGGTACATGGTAGAGAAATAAGGATGTTGGTTAGATTTCGGGATTTTGTACAAAATATTAGTACATTTCCTCCGTCTTAGTTACAGACAGGGCCGGCAATCGATGCGACAGACATGTAATAATAACACGATATAACAATATATAACACATAATGTACATACCTAAATTTTGGCATATTTGACTGCCCTGTCAAATACGGATTACACGCAAAGCTATCGCATGATATAAGAGCCAGTCGAAGGAGCAAAAAACCGTCAGGAAAATGCTTCGCCAAAGCACAAATGTGTGAAGGGAAAGCAAAATCACAGCAAGAATGAATAGAAATGAATTATTGCCCTCGGTAACCTTTCCCCATCAAGCACACAGCGGGAATTGCATAGCATGGGTAGTGAAACCACTAGGGAACTATCGAAGCAATGCTCCGAGTAATATAAACAAAATTCAATCGCGACATAGTGTGACCACAAACTGTAACATTTTCAAGTGTTTATGCCATATATTTTAATGGAACACTCGAAGGGTGTAAAGTGTATGTGTGGCTACGTTTGTAGCGGGGGGGGGAGGGGGGGGGGTTGAGGGGGCGTACAGGTGAGAGGGTCAAGCGTGACACATTGCGACATCATTTTCAAGAGTCTTGATAAATACTTGCCAATGATGGATGTAAAGACAGTAAAGTAGCTTAGTTTCTAATGGGAGAACCCGAGATGGGTAAGGGGTAGACTTATCGTCGTAAAGTTATTTTTTTATTTTTCCGGGACCACATTTTATGGCTCCGACCACATGCAATCGCGCTTATCCCGCGTTGGATGATGGGAATAGGAGCATTCCCATGGGCCTTATGGGCCTTAGACAAATTAGCAACGTTTTTCACTAGGCGGAATTGTGCGCGCGGAGCTTCGCTGAGCGGAATTTTTCTTAGTCTTTTCTAATTAGTTCCATGCGAGAAATCACAAGACAAAGAAAAATCGCGCTCCGCAACACCATTCTCCTAGTGGCTAGCCTCTGACCATACCTGAAAAAAACCCCCAAAGTATGAAAACAAATATTGAGCTTACCTTTGTCGTTCACTCAACAGTTGAGTTTGAAGCTGTTCAAGTTTCTCACGAAGGCTGATAATTTCGTCTTTATGGAAACCATCCAACGATTCACATTTTTCTCGCCAAGAGTCAAGATCTTGTTTGCGTTGCCCGTTTAGTTCATTTATTTCATGTTGGTATTTTTCCCGCCACGATTCTGCGTCTTTTTTATGCTGGTCCTTGGCTTGATCTAGTTCACGTTCGTGTGTTTTCTGCAACGACTCGGCGTCTTGTTTGTGTTTCACGATCGCCTGATTTAGTTCATTTTCATGTTTTTCTCGCCAGGATTGAACCTAGAAACAAACAAATGATCTTTCTTACTTCAGTTCTGAGGAGTATATATACGCAAATTGCACACGTTGGTTTGAACTTAGTTGCGTATTTCTCATAAAAAAAACGTGTGAAATGACGTCACAAGTAATTACAGGAATCACTGAGACATTTTAATTAAATACAAAACAATAGTAATTCTCAAAACGGAAAACATTTTGAAAAGTGTTTATTGGACGTTTCGACTAGATTTTAGTCATCATCAGGAATACAAATGAAGAAACTCAAGAAGTACTGTAGAAGGTCATTAGTTAAATATTGTTCTTTAGAAGGTCATTAGTTAAATATTGTTCTTTAGAAGGTCATTAGTTAAATATTGTTCTTTAGAAGGTCATTAGTTAAATATTGTTCTTTAGAAGGTCATTAGTTAAATATTGTTCTTTAGAAGGTCATTAGTTAAATATTGTTCTTTAGAAGGTCATTAGTTAAATATTGTTCTTTAGAAGGTCATTAGTTAAATATTGTTCTTTAGAAGGTCATTAGTTAAATATTGTTCTTTAGAAGCTTTAGTTCCGTGATTAAGGTTAGGTTTCAGACTGCTTATTTTACAGATTTGTTAAAAATCTTTTTTTAATTTTTTTTTACTAAAATCCAGTCGAAACGTCAAATAAACAATTTTCTCCGCTTTCGGGGTTACGTCAAAAGTTATTATGACGTTAGGGTGTTTTGGTTAGGAATGCAAGGTTTAGGGGTAGCTAATGATAGGAATCGCTCAATTTAAATGATTTGAGCCAAAAAGTGATGTACAGGATCTAATGGTGTTGGATTCAGGCAAACTTTTCAAACATATGAAACATATGACAGCTTTTCACTTCGTTTGACTGCTAATATCTAAGGCCAAAAAAATATGTGGGTTTCCTATTTCTTCTTGTAAAAACTTAGGTAGGGTAGGTCGGTTTTAACTTCTTTTTTAACTTTTTTTTTTAAGTTTTCCTAACAACCGGACGCCATGTTTGTTTAGTCAGTGCTTCCACATTCAAAGATAAATGTCTCTAAATTGCCTCAAATTTCCATTTTTCCCAAACGTTTTCCTCTAAGTGGAAACACTTACAAGCATGATCCAATAAAAAAGCTAGGTAGGGTCGGGAAACCGGAAACCCACACATATTTTTTTTTGGCCTAATCAACTGTCATGAACTCTCATGTTCCGGTTGACCGAGTTGACAAAACTCTCATGCAAACTCTCACGTGCCCGCTCACGCCTTCGTTTGACCTATAATTGTTCAAAGCTGGATTAGCGCAAAATCTGGGTTGAAATTTAACCTGCTGTTTTAGTGTATGTGTTTCTGCACGTCTGTTTATTTCAAAACTTCAGAGAAGAAAACTCCTACTGATTCACACATGATTTCTGAAGAAATATTTCCAAATTTACAATGTTAGGAATTTGCTTTGAATTTTAGGCCTAACCTAGGGTGAAGCTAATCAGGCTTTGAACAACTGGCCCAGCGCTGTATGCGGCTAAATTAATCCACACACTCTTGCCTCTTACCTCTTTTTTATGTTGTTCATTAACCTGACCCAACTCTTGTTCATGTTTCGCGTTCAGCTCGCTGACATCCGACTGTAATAAAATCACTTTCGACGTCAGCTTCAGCTTCATCTCTTCAGCTTGAGATTTCAACGCCTGGCTCTCATTGTTCATAGATTCCTGCAACCTGTCCATTTCTTTACGATGGTTTACTTTCACCTCCTCCAGATCCTGAGCGAGACTAGAGTTCTCATTTTTCCTTCTTTCGCAAAGGCTACATCTCCGAGCAGTGGATTGTTGCGTTTGTAAACTTTGTTCTAAACTACAGCTTTTCTCTTTTTCTTCCCTGAGGGAACGGTTTAGAATTTCGACTCTCTTGCATAAAGTTCCTATAGAGTCTAGAACACTGGTTTTATCTTGCGAACTTTCATCAATGTTTAATTGAGCATCCTGGGAATTCGAGTTAAGTAATTCACACCAACTTTCACCTAAACTTGACTCCAAACTTTCAATCCTCTTCAAAACCTGTTCCTCCACTTTCATCCGCTTTTTCAACTCTTTATTTAGCCCTAAAACGTGCCCATTACTTCCATCTAGCTTTCCCCTTATTTCATTAATCTCATTTTGATAGTTTTGAATTTTCGCTTCAAGACTAGCCAACTCCTGGGAATATTTCGCCTCGCGATGCTCATCGTTCTCTTTAGAACTTTTACAAACTCCCTCAAGTTCGCCAACTCTCTTAGATTTGTTTTCAAATTTCTCTTCTGCGGTTCTTAGCAATTCTCGGAACTTTTCAACCTCTTTCTGAGAATTTTGCAGTTCAAGAGTTTTTTGCTCGAAGTCTTTTTCGAGTTTAAGTCGCTTATTTTTCTCATTATTCATGTCCCGAACTGTTTCTATTTGAGAATCTTTCAATTTCTTAAACTCGTTCTCATTTTTCCGTGACTTCGATTTAAGTTCGTCAAAATCGCGGGAGAGCTCATCAAATTCGGGATTTCTGCCATCTGTTTCCGTATGTAAAGAGTCGAGTTCTTCTTGTACTTCATGTAACCGTATTCTAGTGGTTTCGTTGTCTTCTTGCAAAAGTAAAACTTGTGTGTCGCATTCTTTTCGTGTTCTTTCAATTTCTGATTGGAGTTCCACGTTTCGTCGTTGAATTTGTTTCGCTTCTTGCTCTTTCTCCTTCACCTTTCAAGAAAATTGTGAACTATATTAAAATATCATTTTGCTATTTGAAAAGGGTGTTTTGCTAATTGGAGAGGGAGTTTTGCTATTTGAAAAGGGAGTTTTGCCATTAGAAAAGGGAGTTTTGCTATTTGAAAAGGGAGTTTTGCTATTTGAAAATGGAGTTTTGCTATTTGAAAAGAGAGTTTTGCTATTTGAAAAGGGAGTTCTAGTATTTGAAAAGGGAGTTCTGGTATTTGAAAAGGGAGTTTTGCCATTTGAAAAGGGAGTTCTGGTATTTGAAAAGGGAGTTTTGCCATTTGAAAAGGGAGTTCTGGCATTTGAAAAGGGAGTTCTGGCATTTGAAAAGGGAGTTTTGCCATTTGAAAAGGGAGTTTTGCCATTTGAAAAGAGAGTTCTGCCATTTGAAAAGGGCAGGTTCACCTAGGCGGAAAATGGGCTTTTCTAATAGTTCGCTGACATCAAGCACAACGCGAGATTAAAATACAAACCTTCACATCAATATCCTGCATTTTACTCTCCAATTCCTCACACTTCGTTTTCTCTTTATTATAACTCTCATTAACCAATTCCAACTTAGATTTCAAAACATCCACTGCCTCGCTCGTCTTTTTATACGCTGCTTCGAGTGCGCGAAATCCCGCGTCTTTTTTGTCGAGGGTAGCTAAATGTCCTCGCAGGCTTTGAATCTCGGAGTTCTTTCCTTCGAGCTTTTTATTCAAAGCTTCAATTTCGTGTTGTGTTTTTTGCTCAGTTTTCGAGAGCTTGTGTTCGTCTCTGGCTTGTTGTAGTAACTCTGTACTTCGCTTTGTGATTTCACGCTGTTTTGAGTGCTGGCTTGAAACGGTCAAATCTTTTACAAGTTGTCCCTTTTCCCGTTCAATTCGTTGTCTTTCCTCTTTCTCGTATTGCAAATCCAAAGTTTTATTCATTAGCTGCTCTTCCAGTTCCGTAATCCGCTTATTATTTTCCGTCAATTTCCCCTCCAGTTCGATTAGCAAGGCCCGCGTGTGTTTCGCGACTTTCTTGCGACTTTCATTCGCCTTCTCCAGCTCGCGTGTCCGACGTATTAGCGCTTTTTCGTTTTCTTGTAGTTTCGATTGTAATTTAATAAAACCCGACTCGATACTATCCCGGTTCGTGTTTCCATTGCATGCGGGCAACTCGAGTTCTTTTAAACGCTTTTCCAAAATTTCATCACTTTTTCGTAACCGCGTTTTAAGATTCTCAACTTCGCTTGTTAGAGCTTCAATGTTGGCTTTCTGAATGCTAACAATATTATTCGATTTCTCGAGCTGTTTTTTGGTGTCTGTGAGGTTTTTCGAGCACATTTCAGCTTTTCCTTGATTGTGTTTTGCCACGCGTTTCGCCTCAGCAAGTTCGATTTGAAGTGTTAAAGTTGGACCCGTTTCGCCGTTTTGTTTGGGCGGTGATGGTTCAGGCTTTAAGTAGAGATCAGTGTAGTACGGTTGCAGCGCTGGATCGCTTTCCACTTGAGTTTCGGCTTGTTTTTCTGAAGAATTCGTGTTTTTTGGTTCTTTTGAACTTCGTGTGTTGCTTTTGGTGATATAGTCAGTCGTGTCCCTCTAAAGATAAAGCGATTCATCAGTAACGTAGCTTTACACTAGGACTAAAAATATGTGGGTTTCCGGTTTCCCGACCCTACCTAGCTTTTGGGCGTCGAAATCCCGACCCTAAACTTTTTTATTGGATCATGCTTGTAAGTGTTTCCACTTACAGGAAAAAGTTTGTGGAAAATTGAAATTTGAGGCAATATTAGGGAAATTTATCTTTGGATGTGGAAGCACTGACTAAACAAAATGGCGTCCGCTTGTTCGGAAAATTAAAAAAAAAAGTTAAAAAAAAAGTTAAAACCGACCTACCCTACCTAAGTTTTTATAAGAAGAAACCGGAAACCCACATATTTTTTTTTGCCCTATATACATGGGCAATTTCTGCAGCACCTTGCAATGCAACCAACCCAGCCGTGGCACTCACCCTAACCAAGAGTTCCTCAGTAGCAGACCATCTTTTCATAGCAGCATTACCAGATCCCGAGCTGGTCTTGTGGTCTGAAGTTGCTTGCCACGGTGCTGATACTGTACGAGATAAACTGCTTTTTCTTTCTTGTACTAGATCTGAAACAAAATAATAAAATTATTCACGACACAATTACACAAATGCATTTAATAAAGACAATAAATAATGTCAATGAGGTGGTTCGGCACATGAAAAGTTCGATGTCTGAAACGGGCCATAGAGAATTAATCTGTGGTTCTGGAAGTTGATTTTCCGATATGATATAGTCCAGTGTAGGTACTAGTATTCTACAACTGATAAGCTGCCGTGGGTTGTGTCTGAACTACCTCGAAATATATCTCGAATTTGGTGGTCCAGTGTAGGTAGTATTCTACAATAGGGCGAATAAGCTTCCGGGGTTTGCGTTTGAACTACCTGAAAATATATCTCAAACGTGGTGGTCCAGTGTAGGTAGTATTCTACAATAAGCTGCCGTGGTTTGTGTCTGAACTACCTAAAAAAGGTATCTCAAACGTGGTGGTCCAGTGTAGGTAGTATCCTACAATAAGCTGTCGTGGTTTGTGTGTCGTCCAGCGTAGGTATTCTACAATAAGCTGCCATGGGTTGTGTCTGAACTACCTGAAAAGATTAAGTATAGACGTCGACATTCCAAGCGAAGCCACAGAACCACTACTTAAAAATTCGAAGCGTTGCATTCAGATACAAACCTTAGCAGGTTATTGTTGAAATAGAATAATACCTACACTGAATCCCGCTTAAAATATTTATGTGTGAACTACCACACAAAGATTAATAAATACACTTCGAGTGAAGCCTTTCATCAGGTCAATTTATACCCTTCGTTGATATAACTTCCGCTGGAGAAGCGGCTTCGCTCAGAATATCAAACTGTGTTCAATATATTTCCGCTAGTTTAGACACAAATCACTGATATGACAATGGGTATAGTATACCTGGATATATGTACAATGTAAAACAGCACGAATTAAACCATCAAAAATTCAAAATTCTCTTCATCAAATAAATCACTGTTCGTGCATGCGCTTATTGGATCAATGTGTATATGAGATATAATTTACAAATCCTTTTCAAGGAACAAAACTCTTTTATTTACAAAAGAAGCTTTGTTTGTGGTAGCCAATGATATTAGAGAGATTAACCATGGGACGTTCACGTCAGCACGCGCGTTAAACGTACATAATTATAGAGGGTTTAATGATTTGGTGTAAACTTCCTGAAAAATATATCTCAAACGTGGGGGACCAGCGTAGGTAGTATTCTTCAATAAGCCGTCAATACTTCCTGCCTGTCGATTACCAAAACTTCTCTATTAGGACATGTATAATTTATGCATGGACACTTGACTTATATGCCGATGTAGATATCCAGTCCTTGAGTGCCCTCTACAGTAATGACGGCGTCAGCAGTATTTGCTTCAAATCAAGGTAATTCACACACAAACCACGGCAGTACACCACGCCTGTTTTCGCCATACTTATAACCACCAGTCTGCGCATGCGTTGGGTGTCGTTAGTTGATTGCATAATGCGAATGCGTTTGACAAGCATCGCATCAACAGAGTACCAGCTGAGTATATATGGAACTGTTACTATATAGTAATGTTAGAGCAATTTCACAATTCAGATCGGCCAAAAAAGTAACTGTTATATATCTAAAAGATTGTTCAACTTTGGGTACCAGAATAACTGTACGGCTGTACGCTGTCATATAACCTAAAATATACATTTGTCTGTTTTGAGAACGTCACTTAAGAAACACGATATTCCTTAACCCTGGTTCGTCCCTCTAATATCCAAGGCAAATTATGAATTTAAAGCTTACTTGTTGGGGAACCAATCTTTGAGTCATGGTAACTGAGCGCACGTGCTGCTGATGATTTCTTGTTGAACTGGTATCCAGGCGAAGCTATGACGAATGGTTTTAATACACGGCACCAATTGTCCATTTCTAAACGATTCTCAGCTTTCAAGTAATACGTCTTTGTTGAAGTTTTGATTCCAATGCTGAACGCTTCGTTTGTGTCGCATTCAGCGCTTATCAAACCAAGGCAATCATCTAGACTAATGCTTCCTAACGAGGTCTGGCCAGGCTAAATAATGTGAAGATATTTTGAATTTATAAAACGGTTCTGAGTACTGGGTTCCACCAAACTTAACTTCATTTATACTGGATAGCTCTATCAATTCTAAACTGTTCTTCCTAGAGGTCCAGTAAGGATCATCTCTTATTGATCCATTGTTACTACACGAGGAAACCTAAACTAAACTAACTTTATTTATACTGGATAGCTCTATCAGTTCTAAACTGTTCTTCCTAGAGGTCCAGTAAGGATCATCTCTTATTGATCCAGTATTACTACAAGAGGAAACCTAAACTAAACTAACTTTGTTTATACTGGATAGCTCTATCAGTTCTAAACTGTTCTTCCTAGAGGTCCAGTAAGGGACCATCTGTTATTTGAGAAAATGTGCTGTGTTGGCAGGCAGAACCTTTCCCACATACAAGAGAGAAGAACGATTACCCACTAAATGTAGTGCTCTCTCCTTGATGGTAAATTATCTGAAATTGCATATTCCAGGAAGGAAACCTTGTCAAAACAGCAGATGGATATATAGGCTCATCAACCAAAGAGGAGTAGGATTCCCCAGGTAAGTCAGAGGGGGGGGGGAAGTCTAGACTCAGAAGTTGGCAAAGGTGCAAATGTTGCAGGGGTAGAAGGGATGGATCTTGGTTCATTAAACAAGGGGAGGGGGGAGTGTAAACTATAGGGGTGGAACTTCATTCACCAAACAAGGATGAGAAATTCTGAGGGAGGAGAATTTTCATAGGGATCACAGCTAAGCTTGCAAGGGTACAAAACTTCCCTGGGGTGTTGTCAGAAGGGGGATTGATCTATGCCGACCTGACAGGTAGGGAGAGAGAGGTCTTTTTAGGGTGTGTTGCCAGGAGGAAGGATCATGGCTTACATGGGGGGGGGAGGAGTAAATAATTCCATAAATCCAAGGGGGATGGTAAGATTGACATGTCTCTTGTAATAACCCATAAAGTTAGAATCCAACTTTATTTTACTCTGTAGTGTGTAACAATTATCACAATGTAGATAATTTTACCTGTCACAGGCAGACTTTTGGGAATTAATACTAACAGAACTCTTACATATTTTTTTTTGTTTTAAGATGAGTGGCTGTTGTGAAATTCAACTAATTAGGCTTTCGTACATCACCATTTTTGGGTGGCATTTCAGCCAAAATCTACAAGTCCACTCCAGTTTCATACTTAGTACCACTGTGGGACAATAGGCCGGAACAGTCTGGAACTGATTAAGCTATCCAGTATATAAATAACATTAGTTTAGTACACTAGTTCAGTTTTACTGATGCACTCATACCCATATCAGCTTACCAGATATTGCTCCGAAATTTAAAAAAATCGGTATTGGTACTTCAGTAATTGCCAATATTATCAGTATCATATTATAACAAAGTTATACAATATATTTTAAATTTAAAGTATATTTTGGATTCCAATTTGATTGCAACACAACTCAGTGCCTCAAATGTGTCAATATAAATTCAATATATAGCCAAAGATGTTATCAATGTATACATGTATGATAAGTGTTAATGCGTAATTGGCCACTCGCAACTTGTATATATGATGAAGTTTCAGCAAATTACGTCCAATTTTCATTTGTGAATTTCGAAGTAAAAAATAAAATATTGGTATTGGTATCGACCCTTGAACATCAGTTATCAGAATATAAGTTAATTTTCATATCAGTATACCTCACTATTTTGTTTAAAGTTTGCATTGAGTACCACAAAGCATAATTCATAACAACTTAAAAGCTCTTTGTGTAATCTAGCATGACAAATCACTTCAGGATTTCAAAAGCCATCGTCCACGGCAACAGTAATTTTAAGGTGTCAATGACCCGGCATTGGAGTAAAGTGCACTCCAAGCTTACATCAAGGAAATAATTTTCAAACATAAATATTGTTTTCAGACAATACTCTTTACGTTTCAGGATGTTTAAACACTTCTTAAGTAAACTATGTCAAACCTATTAATAGACAGGGTTATTTCGTTGTATATAAGCACTATCATGCAGAATTACTAGACTCTAATGGTCGCCTAGCAGTCATCAGTAAGAAAATGTTAATTCTCATAATTCTATGAGTAGGCTTGTATTTTGTGGCAAACAAATAAGGGAGATATTTTGTTTAAATTGCTTTCTCGTGTCAACTATATTGCTTTATCCTGAAACCTACCAAATGTTAGCCTACGGTGTAGACGCCAGAAACGAAATGTGTTTCTGCTGGGGTCAACACCGTAGGCTAACCAAATGGTAGATTTTACTTAACAGTATCATGCAAAAGATGGTGGTCAATCAGCAGTTCATATCATATTCACTTTATTCTGAGATCAACAAAATGATTTTGTCCCAAACGAAATTCAACACTCAAAAACTATGCATGGGGAAATCATAAAACAAATTAAATTTACATTTAATATCCCAGCATGATCGTTTTAAAACACGCCAAGAAATAATTGCACTGCTTGTCACGTATCAGACAGGTGTAATTTAATAATTTTAACCAAACATTTTGCACGTATTTTCCAATCCGTTTCTAAAGCTATAGTTTGTCATCATATTTATCGACACTTATGCTAAATTTACTCTGTCAAGTATATATAAATTCACAAGGCTAAATTTTGATATGAATCCCTCGAAATTCTAAAGCACAACTATTTTAAGACCCATACCGTTACGGTTTCGGCAGAGAACCATTCCAAAACGCCAGACGAATAGAGCATGAACCAAACTTTCTCCCATTTCTAAATAAAAGTCGAAAATGTTTACATTGCCAGCACGCACTGATATAATTTGTAAATATAAACACAAAATATGAAAATATTAGCTTACTTGCACTTGAATTTTTGGCAATGTTGATATTTGAGTCGCAATAGACAAGTTCCCTGACTTGACGGTGGTTTTTGGACGATTAACGCCAAGCTAGAGGTAAAATCAACAATTAATTTGCTTATCTAAACGGAGAAATGTCAAAAATCTTCAAAATTAAATCGGTTTTGATACCTCTAAATTTGTCGGTCGTTGAGGTAATGTCGGGCTTGTGGTGTGAACATCTTTCGGTTTGAAGCAGTTCTGACATTTGTTTTTATCGAATACATTCGCCGAGAACTTTTTACAGGCCAACGAAGACGATCTTTCAGCCATTAAATAGCTACACTTCGAATCCTTGGCAAAATGCTTGTGATATACACGCTTGAATCAGGATCAAATTATCATCAATGGCAAGCATTCATGCATCGATTCGCCGACTTCCTGGTCTCAATAGTGGCTTCGTGTAATATTTGTGGCCGTAATCGATCCATTAGGAAGCATTTCTACCCAGATAAAATGTCTACTTTGTCAACGGTGTTGAAAAAAGTTCAACTTTAATGTCACATTCTCGTACTTTTGACAAATAGCGTCTGGATTAGAGTTGACATGCCGCGCGTGCGCATTGCAATTTGTGGCAGAAGAAATGCTAATTCTTTTCCGCATTTACCAGTGTAATGTTTTGGTGGAAGATAGACTAGAGTTGAGCGATGTATGTTAATTTGCTGCTATAAGTATTCTGGAGTTTATCACAGTCAGCTTTCCTCTACCGCTTACTTTAATGTTTCGCCGTAGCAAGTTGCATATAAAACATGAATCCCCCCCCCCCCCGAAAACCCCCTTCTATTTGCAAACCATATGATCGAGTATCTGTCGTGGACACTTGTCTCTCTGAAGAATATAAGCAAAGGTTTCCGACGTTTCACCGTGAAGACTCAGAGGGTTCCTCGTTCAAAACGTCGTACAAATCGTGGAAAAACGTCTTCGTCAAGAGGTGTCTCGTCTAAACTCTCCCGACGTTGGGGAATACAACCTTTCGACAATTACCAACTGGCCCAAGACAATAGCTTGTCGTAGGGTGAGTCTCCCAGGTCAATGACGTATTTGTGACGTATTACCGAAAGGGTGTATTGATTCTGCTCGTCAGAATACTCTGCCAAACTTTAGATTCATTGACGAGTGCCAACATCAACCGTTTTCTAATCTCTGTCCAAAATTTCCCTATAAACTTCGAACTCCAAATATTCAGGTACTTTTCCAAACGCTTCTGCGTTTCAGAAATAAAAGGGTGACGCATGCAGTACAAATGTATCCGATTTCAAGAGGACAAGTTAATTAATTCCGGCTGTCCCGGCTGCGCTGACGTAAGAGCAATTGAACAGGACCGGACGCAGGATTTTTTCCACCAGGGCGCAATAATACCTTATACCTACATCCCTCTCTCCTCTGCAGAGGCTTTTAAAGAATATGAATTCGAAGGAATTGAAATTGCGCTAGAAGGTATCTGGTATGAAGACAACCGCTGAAAATACCAGTCAGTCTAGCGCAATTTCAATTCCTTCGGCTTCGAATCTCATATTCTTTAAAAGCCTCTGCGGAGGAGAGAGGCTACATCCTGAAACAAGTACACAAATGTCCACGCATTCAAAATCATATCAATTAGATGCATGCTTATGGCCGCCTCATACAGAATCATACATTCTCATTCACCAGATTGTAAATTTGTAAGCGCCATTTGGCTTAATACTATAACATTATAAAATTAATTAGTAAGTTAAATTTTCTCAGGGGGAGGAGCATAGTTGCTCCCGCTGCGCATGGCTGACATGCGAATTACTGCGGAAAGGAATAGGGGTCAGGATCAGCTTCATAAAGGTCTAACGTTTTCCAAAACAACTCTCGAAAATGGCTGGAAACGATATCTCAGAGGCTCCATATTTCAAAATCTTCACGTGCTCTCGGACCCCCCTGTAGGTGGGCGTACCCCTTCGACAGCGCAAAGCCGCCTACGTCTTTCAAAACGCCTCCTAGCTCAAATTCTGTTGGGAACCCGCGGAATGACCAAGCGGAAAGGCGTGCGAAAAGATTGCGGAGATTAGGATTAAAAAATGTCTCGAAATTTGCGTTTGCATGTCATTCGGCATTCACTCTGTAGGCCATTCCGCACGTGGACGCTCCGCCTTTTACACTCGGCGTGTAGCAGCGCATTTCAATAGCTTTTAATACCAATGAATCCTTTGGCTAAGCCACAAAATCAGTTTATAATAATTTGCATTGCTAATACATGTCAATCCGAAAGTTAATAACTTTAATCTTACTAATTTAGCGGTTAGAATATCTTTCACAATCTCTTTCATAGTATGTTCTACTATCAAAGACTATAATGATAGTGTATGTTTGCCAAAAGACAATGGAAATCAGGCCTAGAAAATATATTTCTCTTCCTGGCAGCAAAATCCAAAAATAAAAATTTCCTGTGTAAGTCAAATATAAAACTTCCTGCATAATTATGTAGATTTCAGAGAACGTATTGTGCCCCACATTGTGATAAACTATCAACCTGAAAACAATATCACGTTGCAAAATGCTTTTGAAATTTTTAAACAATAAGTAAATTATATGGCATTCCAGTGTATAAGATGACAAAAATTTCCTGCAAGATGTAAGAAAATTTCCTGCAAAGATATTTTGGGAAACATTTCCTGGCAGCGGTGCTGCCGGACATTTTCCAGCCCTGATGGAAATTATCTACTCGTAGGAGAGAACATTGCGACATGTCTTAAATTCGAAAATGTTAGTCTTACTCTGTTTACTTATATAAATTTTAGATGTCACATAGGATTAACTTTCGTACCATAATCATCTGGAAAACATTCTTCACATCAGCTTTATATTGTGCAGAGGACTAGCCACAACTACCCAAAACTCAGGAGAAACTGGAGGGGGAGTGTAAACTATAGGGGTCGTAATGCTTTCATCTATGAAATAAAATAGGTTAAAACTTAAAAGCAAGATGGCGATTTTTTTCAACTCCTCAAAATTTTGAAGTAAATTCTAATTTTTTCTTGTGTAGCATATTTCAGAAAGTTCATTTCCAACGTATTGAATCTTCTGTTTCTAGTCGTTTCATTCTTGAACAACAAACATAGCAAGCCAACTAACCAGGCTAGTCTCTTTAAGTTGGCTTTTTACCATAATTTGTGTTACATTGTATATAGTTTTTTCTTATCGTAAATTTTTGAATGGTAATAAATTTCTTCTTCTTCATATACCAAATATGTGCATTTCAGATTATCATAAAATGTGTCTAAAATGGATGAAATAGCATTTCGAAGATCCTAAAAAAGAATAATTTTCTGGGGGTGCTAAGTGAGACCCTGACCTATTCCATTAAAGATAGAATAAAACAGTTCTACTTGGCTGTCGTCCCAACATTTTATTCCAACATTCATGTTAAACTTTTCATAAATAAATAGAGGATATTTACACGGCAGCGCGAAGATATGACTTTTATCTTCGAGTGGTGAAAACAATATTTTACGAATGAGCGCAGCGAGTGAGTAAAATATTGTTTTTAACACGAGAAGATAAAAGTCATATCTTCAAGCCACCGCGTAATGTTCTGTTTATTATATAGTCCCAAGCAAAAAATTGTGAAATTTCACGCTCAAAAGCAAATTAGAAAAAGTCACGTGGTCGATATCTTCAGTAGTGAACTGGATATGGAAAATATCTCACTGTGTATTTTTCAGTATCTCACTCTCTACTATATAATAATTTGTCATATATTGTAATTTAATTCTAAACGATTTACAGCCTTCACAGAAATTTATAGCATTGACAATTTTCTTGGTCGCGTTTTTTTTTTTT